GGGTGGGGCAAAAGAAAGGGAAAACCAAAAATAAATAATTTCTCTGTAATCAGTTGAAGCAAAGCTGCAAACATCTATCTTCTGTTTATTTTACATCTACCACACTTCTCAGCAATCAAGCAGTAAATATTTCCTCATTATCTCACTGTGTGCGCGTTTCTTTTTTAGGAAGAAGAGGAAGAGAGGTCTGAGAGGTGGAACGATTTTTTGGAGCGTCAAGCAGAGTCTGCTCAGTTACCCATAAATGGGATATCTGCAGACAAAAGTTCTACTAATCCTGGTGCTGAACCAATTAATCAGGAGGTAAGCTGTGATGCACAGAACGGGGAAGAAGGTCAACTTGAAAGTGCAACTGAGAAGGATGTCACACTGATCACCTCTGTGGAGAGGAAAATTTGTCAGGCTCAGATGTGGACGGAAATTAGACCATCTCTACAGGCAGTTGAGGATATGATGAGCACTCGTGTCAAAAAGAAAGTAAACTTAGCCAAACAGGAGCAAGATTCTGGTCTGAGGAAGCACCTTCCTGCAATTGAAGAGTCTAGACCCACAAAAGGAGTATTTGAAGAGGACTCGGAAGATGAGTTTTATGATATAGAAAGATCAGAATCTTTGGACAAATCTGAGTTAGATTCGATGCAAGACATTCCGTTAAATGATACTGCTAGCCATTTGGCTAATACTAGTCAAGAGTCTTTGCCTCCTTGGAAAGAAGAATTGGAGTGTCTTGTTCAGGGTGGAGTACCCATGGCTCTTAGGGGAGAGGTACAGAGAATTTATTGAAATTTCCTTATGATTGTGTTTTTTAAAGTAATCTGAGTTCATGCACTAGCTTTTTTAATGCAAGCTTAATATTGGAATCACAGCTTTGGCAAGCCTTTGTGGGTGTGAGGGCACGCAAAGTGGGGACCTATTATCAAGATTTGCTTGCATTAGGCACTAGATCTAGTAATAATACGGAGCTTAAAAGTGTGGAATCAGAGGACCGTGGAAGTTCTGTGGACACGAGCATAGACTGTGTATCTATACCTGAGAAATGGAGAGGGCAGATCGAGAAGGTCATTGAATGTGCTATATCTCAACTGTTCTTTTGAGTACCTTTTGCATTCTATGTTACTGCTGGTTTTTCCATTTCGTGTCCAAGCTTATCTTGCAGTTTATTGCAGGATCTACCACGAACATTTCCTGGACATCCTGCTCTAGACGAGGATGGAAGAAATGCTTTAAGGCGTTTACTTACAGCGTATGCTCGACACAATCCCTCGGTTGGCTATTGTCAGGTATTTTTGTTAGCTTCTCTCTTTTTTATATACTCGTCCTTTTCTCCTTTTTTTCCCCCATTTCTCTTCTTCTGTGTAAATTATCAGCGTCTCATTCTAGGGTTTATTTCTAAACTCTATTTTCTTCTAAATATTATCTGCGCATACTAGTGCTGTATTTCTAGTTTGTGACAAATCTGATTCTTTCATCTTTTGGTTCACCTATTTAATAATCCTTTGGCGTCGATCAAACCACACTTTTTTGTCTAATAATGCAGGCCATGAATTTCTTTGCTGGTCTGTTATTGCTTTTAATGCCAGAGGAAAATGCATTTTGGTATGTTTTCTTAACTTTGTTCGCATCTAATTTTCCATAGGAACATCTTCTTTTATTTATGTAGAGGAAAGTTGCTTCTACTCACAGTTCACAGTTCAGAGAGCATTGGCATTCTTTAGCACATCACACTTGTAGAGTTATTTGTTATGGAGTCGTAAATTGTAAAATGAGCTTCCGTATATTTTTGGTCGCTTTGTCTCATTAAAATAAAAAATGTTGAAAAACACTTACAGGACTTTGATGGGGATCTTAGATGATTACTTTGATGGATACTACGCAGAAGAGATGATAGAGTCTCAGGTAAAAAAAAGTTTTGGTTTTTGCTTGCCGTAACTTGGTGCTACCATCTTCGTTCCCCCTTCAATACTTTGGTATGTTTCAGTTGCATATGAGAAGTGTGAATATATCCACAAGATTTTATTTACTACAGTATCTCTTATCAGGTTGACCAACTTGTTCTTGAGGAGTTGGTGCGAGAGAGATTTCCAAAGTTGGGTATGGCTTTTACTTTAACTTCCTTTTGTGAAGTACCTTTCTTCAGGTTATCTATCAGTCTGTTGGCAGTAATCATTATTATTTGTTAACTTTTTGGTGTCTTATTCCACCAATGCTTTATTGCAGTTAATCATCTGGATTACCTGGGAGTGCAGGTAGCATGGGTAACAGGACCATGGTTCCTCTCCATATTTATGAACATGCTTCCATGGGAAAGTGGTCGGTTTCTCTCTCTCATGAAAAATTTAAGCTGTATAGTGGCCGATAATGTAGATTTAACCAAGTTTTAAGTTGTCATTGTGCTTAATTTTAGGTCACTTCTCTCAGAATTCTCTTATTTGCACCTTGATCATCTTATGTTTGTTGACGCCCTTTCTCATTAATTTTCCTTTGTTTTAGTCCTTAGGGTATGGGATGTGCTTCTGTTTGAAGGAAATCGAGTGATGTTATTTCGTACAGCTCTTGCTTTGATGGAATTATATGGTAATCTTTGAGTTCACAAGGGTTGAAAATTGCAAGTTCTTTTCTTCCTTGTAGCTCTATTCTACATACATATTTGGGTTGCACAAAATTGATGTATTTGTTTGGTCTTGACCAGGACCTGCATTAGTTACCACAAAAGATGCTGGGGATGCAGTCACCCTGCTGCAGTCGCTTGCTGGCTCGACATTCGATAGCAGTCAACTTGTTCTGACTGCGTGCATGGGCTATCAAAATGTCAATGAAGCTAGATTAGAAGTACTAAGAAATAAGCATCGGCCAGCCGTGAAGGCTGCATTGGAAGAGAGGACTAAAGGGCTCCGAGTTTTGAGGGATTCTCAGGGTCTAGTATCTAAATTATACAGTTTTAAGCATGATTCTGGATCTGCAATTTTAGGAGTCACTAAAACAGATCAAAAGGCTGATGCAGAGACAAATAGTGATGCATCTCAGACGGATATTGCATCTGCTAATATGGATGAACTTTATATGAGCTTGAATGGGAATGTGGAAATAGATTCTGTTCCAGATCTTCAAGAACAGGTAGCTTTTGGTCATATCTCTCCTAAAATATAATATATTTCATTCTCCTTTGAACTTGCATACCTTTCCTGATCAACTTCTAATAACCATGTCCTACTCTGCTTTATCATCTCATTAAACTATCTAAACGAGCACTTTAGAATTATTCATGCAACTTACTGAAATTTGTCGTAATTTGTATAGAGATGTTTTTGGAAGTGAAAGCTTGGGATGGTTATTGATCAAGTTAAGAATTTTAGTCTAAAGATACTACACTCTTTAAGTAATTTTTTCCTGTTTCAAAGTAAGCGACCTGGAAGCTGCTTCCAGAATAATTAGAAATGTACCGCACAGTGAGCTTGAGTCGTCATTTTTTTAGCAGAATCCTCCTTAGTTAAGAACCTTCATTGGAAAGTTCAGGGAATGTACTCGAGGCAGGAACTTCAGCTTATGATGCCAAACACTGATTTTAGCTTGGTCATAACTAACATATAAAGGACTGGATGCAGAAACAGATGGGCAGTTGTTTACATCAAATACTGATATAGTACAAATGACGATGTTCTTGTTTGCCTCTTTTGACTAGGGACTGAACTGAAGGTGTGCAATTACAGTTTAGTAGCTGAACCTTCTGGAGAATTAGGTAAGAAAAAAGAGCAAGTGAAGGAAGAAAAGACAGTCCTTGGGTTTGTTATGAAGTAGGGGTAGGCTTTGGCTGTTTGTTGATTAGGGCAATTTTTTTTTTTTTTGATGAGGTGAAGATTTTATTAAAAACAGTATCAAGCTGATACTGTAAAAATACAGAGATGCTGCTGGCTTAAAAACATTAAAATCCTAAGCGGTCTAGCATGTCCAGCATATCATGAAAATTCATAACATTTCCATCTTTCCAATAGTACAAATAATGTAAACAACTGCATTTCACATATTGCAGCTGGTCCTTCTTGCCTTCAAAACACCTATTATTTCTTTCTTTCCATATCGTCCAAGCTATGCTAAGAGGAATATCTCTCCAAAATTTTCTTTAAGGATGCTTCTGGACATGCAGGTTCCCAGCACTCTAATATATTCCTGAATTTCTTAGGGCTTGCCCAAAGGATGTCAAAGTTAGCTGTGAACATGGACCACACCTGCCAAGTAAATTCACAATGCAAAAAAAGATGGTCCACAGATTCACAAGCTTTCTCACACAAGTAACACCTGCTGCACATTATCCAACCCCTTCTCATCAAATTTTCTTGAGTCAGGCATGCTTCATGTGCTACTAGCCAACCAAAACAGGCCACTTTTGCTGGGACTGTAGTCTTCCAGATCATCTTCCAAGGCCGCTTTTGTGCTTGCACCGGCTGGGTAGCATTTAGTATTTTGTAGAGTGAACTAACAGTAAAAGAACCTTTTTTACTAGCTTTCCAGAGTAGGCTGTCTTCTTTTTCTGGCCATAACACCACTGATTGCATCTTCTGAATAAATATATCAACCTCATGCATTTCTCTGTTGAAGAGATTCCTTCTGAACTGGAAGTCCCAACCTGTATCAGTAAATATATCAGCTAAGAGGATTTTTGGATTATTGGCCAATCTGTACAGGTTGGGAAATTGAATTTTCAGCAGACCAGAACCATCCCAATTTTCATAGTTTGTGTTTGTGAGCATAGATTGTGAAGAAACAGCCATATATGGAGTCTTGTCACAGATAATTGTTAAAGAATGGCAAGGAACTTTTTTCAGAAATGTGAAATTAGGGAGAGCCTGATGAGATATCTGACTTGTTTGTCAGATGGTTTGGCTTTTAAAGGAAAGATACAGCGTGCAGTGTACTAACAACGTGAAGTCTTTTGAGTATTGATATATGTGTGTATATTATATATATAATCTCCTGTGAGCTTTTCGAATATCTTTTCATCCAATAAAGCTAGAAAATGCATGTAGGTTTTCTGGTAATATAGCAACATTCTGTGGTACTGTCCAGTTATAATCTTTGTGCCTCCATAATGACATATCCTCCAAGATGCCAATAATAAAGGAGCATATATCCTTATTTTTAGTCTTACCTTTTCAAAAAATAAAAATAAAATAAAGGATGTATCATGGTTTTGTCAAAATTAATCACCTAGAGTGGGTGTGAGTTACCTCAATCTCTATTTGCCATAGTATTTAGGAGTATCAGCACTGGATTGACAAGTCAGTCGATTTACCTGGGAGGCCTCAAGTCGCCAATTAGCACCTGCGGAAGGATCATTGTCGAGACCTGCAAAGCAGGAAAAAAAAGATATATTGAATCACTTATACACGCACACACACGCATATATTACCAGTCTCGTGTAACTTTACTGCAAATGAACATGTTATGTGCACTGAAGTGTCATGTAGCACATATGTCTAGTTTACAGCCAGTACTATGATGAAGTTAATACTCACTGTCTGTAGAAGTCTTTTGAAATATGATGCTACACAGCTGCATCTATGGTTTTCAATACTATTTCTCTTGTGTGGCTTTTATTTCATATTTAATCATACAGTATTGCCTGCTATTCTTGCCTGATGTAAGGTCAGAGAACTATGTTTTCTAAAGTATTGCTCACTCACATGATTCCTCTTTTCTTTTTCATTTTATTTATCGTTTCACCTCCCATCTTTTCATTTATCTCTGTTTTCCGTAATTTCCCTACCTTCAACTCCAATTTAGTCTTTATCTTTTCTTGTTTGATTTGATTATTCTTCGTAGAAATTTGTGGAATTTGATTGTTAGTTTGGATATTATCAAAGTAATATTTCAGATAGCTTCGAATAGTCTGTGAATGGTCATATATTATTCTGGTGTATCTTCACTTTGCATATTTTAACGTATGATTTCAATGCAGGTGGTTTGGCTGAAGGTTGAGATGTGCAAGTTGTTGGAGGAGAAACGATCTGCTGAACTAAGGTGCATATATTAGATGTTAATGTTATATTACTTTTGAATTCTGGTAACTGGTCAGCGCCATCCTTTGCATTTTGACTTTTGTCATAGTTTCTCACTCCGAACTGTAGCTTCTTTACCTTATGAACGTTTTGTTAACAGTTGATTTGATACTTTCGTGAAACCTTTATGCTACAACAAAGGTGTTAGGTGTGGCCTTTTTCTGAAATCATTCTGTACTTAAAGTGCATTAAGAATCACCCTTGTTTTTTGTTAATTTTAGGAGGCAAAGTAAATAACAAATTTGAAACTATGGATCCTCCCATCCAGTTGAAACCCACCTCCTTTGGCTCTGCTACCTTTTCTCCCTATTTTTGTCCTTTCTTCTGTGTGTCTCATGGTTCAGGGTGGGGACAGAGTAACCAAGTACTAAAAGGGGATGTTTTGATGCCCCAAGTTTCTGCTCTGATCCGTTGTCTCGAAGCATGAGGGAAGCATCTGAGAAAGTAAGCCAACCTCTGACAGCCTAAGGTCACCAAAAGAATTGCAAAATTTCTATTCAAGATTAAAGTAGTCTGTATTGTCTTTCATGTTTTTTTTAAAAAAAAAGAAGAAGAGAGAAGCGTGATGCTTAGAATTTGGAAGTTTAACTCTCCCTTTAGAGAGTAGTCTATCAAACTTGGAACTCAATGGAGTTTAATATTTATTCTTACCTTATAAAAAATACCATTGAACATTTCTTCATTTTTGCTATTCCTCTGTAGCGCTTTTGGTCAAGATTTTATACCTATTTGTGTGTGTGGGTGTAGAAAACAAAGAAAAAGAGATATTAAGGGGACTAATGATGTCGTTTCGTGTTTTTTCCATGTGTGCAGAGCAGAGGAGTTGGAAACAGCACTGATGGAGATGGTCAAGCAGGATAACAGGCGGCAGTTGAGCGCAAGGGTACTTAAGAGTTTTGTTTATGCATGAATTATATTCTTTCTCCTGAGTAGGAAATCATATCCCCGCATTCACGATTCTCATCCCTGGGTATCAAAAGACAGTGAAGACCCCCAGCTTTCTGGCATTATACTCAGCATGCTTTTATGTGCTTATAAGCCTGTGATGGATTTGGTCAAGTGAAGCATCTAATTATATGATTGCTTGTGCATGTTTCATCTCTGCACTCTCCATACGTATATTCCTCCTGCCTATTTGACCCATGCACGAAAATGGTAGCAACATCGTAAAAATCAATAATGCAACGTTCTGTCCTTCATTCACACCTAACCACACTTTCGTCAATGAAATAAACATGTGCAACCTTGAATACTCTCGGTGTTCATGTAGAATAGTCAATTGTCTAATAAGGGGTTACAATTGTCTTATCATCCTGGACCCAGTTTGGCTTCTTGGATTGTAGGGTGGATAATAAGTAGGGGGTAAAAAAATCCCTGGGTTTTCGAGATGATGGGCCACCACTAAACTAAGTCTCAACCATAAGGAAGTGCCTCAAAATTCCCGGGGAGCGTTTAAACTTTTCTTTTTTTATTTCTTCTTCTCTGGGGTTTTGGTTGATTTTTTTTTTTCTTTCCTTTTTTTCCTTTTTTAATTTTTGATAAGTGATTTTGGTTGACTGTAATTATCTGGTTCCAAAGCATATTTTCCCTATGATTCACAAGTTTCCCTAATGTCTGCCTCTGTACATCTTTTGAACATGGATGAAAAGGGCTTCCTACACTTTTTAGATGGTTGGCACAATAAACTCTCTTTCCAAAAACTTCATTGATAAATTCCACATATGTTTGTTAAGCATAATCAGTCTCAAGTTAGGATAATGGAGGAGGATTGCTGTAGGTTGACGACTAGCAGTTAATTCAGTGATGGATCAATTATGAGAATGTTTTAGAAATGCGGACACTAAGAGTGATGTACAAGATTGGACAGGATTAAAATGATCACATCCAACAGAAGTTGCAAATAGCATACACAGAGGTTAAAATGAGACGTCTTAAAGAGAAGTGGCTCATGTAAGAGCCTGCCAACTTCCAACCAAGAAGTTTGGAGTTTGAATCACCAAATGGGGAAGTGGAAAGAATCTTGAAATCTCTTTGAATTATAGTGCACTTAGCTAAGCGCAGAACACAAAGGAAGCAAAGAATCTACATTGGCAATACCAATTTGTTGTGATTACCAGTAATCTGAGTAGGGATAGATGGGAAATCTAGAGAACCTCTAGTTGCCTAAAAAACAAACTACTGAGTACTAGAATGAAAGTACTTTGGGCCTGAATAAAGTGGAATTAATGAAAGAGTGTGCATACAGCTACCTCAACTAATTTAGTAATGGGGCTTAGTTGATTGGTTCGTTTCTTCCCTTCTTTCATATTTTACTTTTTTCTTATCGCACGTGGATTATTATTTTTGGGTTGTTTCTTCTTTTTCTTTCCTTAAGTGAAGATTAAATTTCACAATGACATTTTCACACTGGCATATCCCCATGATTTAGGTTGAGCAATTAGAACAAGAGGTTGTTGAGCTCCGACAGGCACTTGCTGATAAGCAAGAGCAAGAAAGTGCCATGCTTCAGGTGACAATTCTCATTAAATATTTGATGATAACATTTTTGAATATTATCTAATATGTTCGTCCTTGCTTACTATGGTGATTTATTTGAATGGAATTGCTTTCTAGGTTCTCATGAGGGTGGAGCAAGAACAGAGGGTAACGGAAGATGCTCGTAGATTCGCTGAACAAGAGGCAGCGGCTCAAAGATTTGCCTCTCAAATGCTACAGGTTTATCTACTGATTGAATTTCTTGGTGAAACATTTTGACTTCTATTTCCTGTTCTTCAATTTTATTCATAGTAATTAGTAAACTAGGTCAATCTTTGTCTGCTTATTTGGGTGAACATTTTTAAATGCAGTGAATTTCTTCTAATACTCTTCGTGTTATAACTTACAGATCACCGCATAGTGGATATATCATCTCTTTATGTTTTCTTTTGCTGAAGCTCATTCAAATTATAACATAGTGGTGTCCATGATGATGCTTAATCATGTCCCTCATTCATCTAAAACATACATCCATAATCGTTGTATTGATATGTTCAATCCCATATAATATGATCCCATTAGATTTAGTGAACATCTTCATTGGTGGATCTTTTAAACTGCATTTGAGCACCGAAGCAGCTTAAACACAAGAGGTGTGCTTAATATAGTCTTCTATTCACTTCAACCATAGGAAGATACCTTAAGCACCATCTTTTTGAGGATTTTGTTATGGTAGTCCTTTCTACATGCTTTATTTATTATTCACTTCTTGAACCAAAGTATCCATATTTTTTTTAAACCCCTCCCAATTTAGGAGGATGTATAGTGTTTCCACACTTCCCCTCCAGGGTTACTCGAACCCAGGACCTAACGGTCGTGGGTGGAGGTGCTTTACCAACTGAGTAAGCCTCACTTGTCAACCAAAGTATCCATATCTTACCAAATTTGGGCAAGCCGCAGTATTTTGCTCTAAAAATGCTAGAATTGCATGAACGTCTGCAGATAATTCTGATGTAACCATCTCTTGTACATAGCATTTAACCTTCACTTCTCCTCATAACCTTCAAGTCCCCCGCCCAAAAGCAGTCTCTCCTATTAAAATCATTGGATTGACGCCCTTCTTCATCCAATGATTTTATAGAGGTATTGCCACTATTCTTTTTTCTCCGTCTATGAAATCAGAACTCTTTCATCCTTACATTCTTTTTACTTGTCATTATGGTATTACGATATGTCTACAGTTACTAGCCTGTTTATTGAGTCTATTCGGAACAAGAAAGTTTCTCCAATGACTTTTTTTTCTTTGATGGTGTAATTGGAAACTAAGAAAATAAATGGCTAATACATTGGATATCTCATGGTTTACAATTACTATGCAGGAGAAGTATGAAGAAGCCACGGGATCCCTCGCTGAGATGGAAAAGAGACTTGTTATGGCTGAATCAATGCTGGAGGCTACCTTGCAATACCAGTCCGGACAAAATAAAGTATTACCTTCTCCAAGGTAGTAGTTCCTTACATATGATATCCTCGTGAGGTATTGACACACCATTTGTACCTCCCATCGGGTTATCATAGTGTTTTTCCTGATATTATGTGCAGTGTTATGAAGTCCTCCGTTTATTACCATGTCTTTGTCACTAGTAATGCAAACAACATATAGTAATTTCTTCAAGCATATCTTGTATTTCTCTAAAATGGATGAATACACTCTTCTATAGATCCACACAGCTTTCATCTCCAGTACGGGGCAACCAAGATTCATCACCGGAGATACCTGCTAGAAAGATCAGCTTGCTGTCGGTACCATTTGGACTTGGATGGCGTGACAAGAACAAGGTGAGTCCATGATTTTCTTAATCCAATTTTTGAGGTGTTATCCACTAAATTAAAATTTTGTTAGAACTTCCTGTTAACTATGTATTTTGGCTTGCTATCGGCTAGCGATCTATGAGAAGTACAATTTCACTTGTCAGATTGTCGTACCTGCCTTTAAGATCTACTAGGTGAGAAGACACGCCTAGTTTACTGCATTTGTAAGAGCAACAATTTAAGTTGTAGATATTACCCATATTAACTTCTGAATAAAGCTTTATGTACTCCATCTTCTTGCTTTATAGACCAAGTTGTCTAGTTTAGGGGCAATAAGCACATTCTATAGAAAATGCAGTTGGATTAAAAGATTTGGTTGATGTCGAGTCAAGTAACTACGGTCTCTTAACACTGGTTGAAGCTCTCATAGTGTGGCTTCTATAGGAGAGATATAACCCCCTCCCCCCCTGCTGCCCTACAACTATCTCTTTATTCCAGTTTTAATGTAGCATACTTNGCCAGTATTAAAATAATTGAATGACACAGGGTAAGCCAGCCGAGGAGGTTATTGACAACAAGCCAGTGAATGAGGAACCGAGTCCAAACACTCAGCAGAAGGAAATGAACAGCCATCAGATGGAGCAGAAACTGCAAGAGGTCTAAGAAGGGCTGCTGCTGGAACAAATTTCATATGTGGCCTGGAATTCAAAAGGCTAGATATGAGATGCCCTTTATATTGGTCACAAAAGAATTGAAGCGACACTTTTTGTATATTTTTTTTCCATTAAATCCCCTTAAGAGCATATATAGTCAGTTTATTTGTTCATCAAGTGACAATAATAGTGAGTTACAAGATGATAGTGTAGAAAAGGAAAAGAAAAAAAAAATTCTTTTACTATCTTGTTAGTAAAGTGGCAGTTTCCAATGTATTCTCGTCCAAAATGTATAATTGTTGATTTTGCATACTTATCCTTGTTATAATTGAGTTTATCATAGTGTTATCTTATCATGTTTTTTAAGTACTGCAGAGTTTTATTGTTACATTTAAACTGGTGGAAGTTTACTTATTATGCTTTTGGAATCTTATTTTAGAATGGTAGGCAGTTTTTGGAAATCAAAATTGAAGCTTGACTTAAGCAGTTATTGATAATATTATGAAGATATAGGAGTAAATCTTTTTTTTTTTTTTAAATTTCTAAAGGGCTTATCTGCAAGGAGGGTGTGGGTATAAAGACCCCTTCACATATATAATCCCTATTGGTACCTTAACATTGCCATTATTACTATTATAGCTTATCAACGCTTCAAGTTAATTTACCAGGAGTTGCATTTATTGCTGTGGTTCACAAGTTGGTAATTATTCATCTTTGCTCGCTTCATCAGTGAACTCAGTTTGAACGTATTCTTAGATATATCTCTATATTAATTTGGTATTCTGCCACATGGCCGTATAATAAGCTACCACAATTGTTTCTTCAATTCTTTTGAATAGAAAAAGACTTGCTCACACCTAGTGTTTACATTAGGGCGGTCTAAGGGGAGGGTTCTGGGTACGTAAGGGGACTGGATATTAGGACGGTACCACTAAGAAGGGTTCCTTAAAGGGATTGTGGTTAAGGGAAATTAAGGATACGGGGTAAGAGGATTTTTAGCGGTACCATACCAGTACCACTACGGGTCCTGGAGGGGGTTAGTTAAGGAGACGGTAAGGGTACTTAAGGATATTTTTAAGTTAAAATTTAAAAAATATTATATTTAAATACATACAAACTTTAAGGGATGAAAAAAATCCAAGGCTATGAAGTGCCTTTTATTTTATTTTTATGCAATATAAACATTAGATTTCTAACACAAGTGACAAGTATTTATTTGTATTTCAATACTTGTGGTTGTACAGTATGAGAACCATGTCCGGACTTTTTAGAACGGGACCCCTCCCTAGCAAGCCAAACAACTTTGTGATGAAGTTCCATATGCTTCCTTAAACCTCTCGTTCCTTAAGCCAAACAGAATTTTGGGAAGAGAAGAAATGATTTGTTCAATATTTTTGTAGAAGAATCACTTATTTTTCAAATTTCATGTTTTTCGATTTTTGTGTACTACGATTATATGATCAATAGTTTGGTTGAAGTTGATTAATCTGGGCATCTCACTGGTGTGCAGTGATACAAACTCAATTTTACAGTTATCTTTTTATTTTGTTATTACTGCTTGGGTACATATTTGAATTTTTTTAGGTTTGAAAATATTTTCTCTTGTGGTGATCTGGTATTTAGGTTTGAATTTTATGTATACTTTACTTTTTGCCATGGTTTAAAATTGTAGAGTGTTTTCTTAGTGATGCAATGCTAATTTTGTATCGTAGTATTTTGTTGTTTGAACTGAAGTATTAATTAAAGTATTTGATATTCTATTCTTTGGGACTGCATTGGAAAAAGAAGAGGAGAAACGAAAGAGAGATGACACATTTCTATCCTCTAATTGCCATATTTGACTGAAAAAATTGAAGACGATGCAATTTAGTAAGAGGGGAAAGAAGAAAAAGTAAATTTGCTGAGAGTGCATAAGTACCATGGGACCCACCTTTCCACTTGTCAAATAGATAGAGGTGCCTCATACAAGTTTTGTTGGTTGAATCTTACTCAAAATAAAATTTCTCAGCTTAAGGAATTTAATTTATATTTCTGTGTTATCTTCTATTTTGCTGTGGGGATTAAATCCTAATGATTTCTACTCCCGTTTTGGAGAAATCTTCGAATTTTTTACTTCCCTCTTGAGATTAAAGTTTTCGTGAATTTTTACTCATTTTCGTGTATTAAAGTATTCATGACTTTTTACTTATGTTTATATTCGGTTTAAAGATTAAATACTTTAATTTATTAAATTTATTTGTTTAAACTTTTACAGAGAAGTGGCAACAGATATGGTACAATAATATGGTTCTTTTGTGATGGCTACTAGATCGCCAAGTCGCACAACACCGACATCGTTAGAAAAAACCTGAAAAATTTTCTGGCACTGATTTTAAGCGATGGCAGATGTTCTTCTATCTGACTATCCTTAGTTATCAAAAATTTATCAAAGAGGATGCTCCGGTCTTGGCAGAAGGAACTCCTAAAAAAGAACGTTTTGTAGTAATTGAAGCTTGGAAGCATTCTAACTATGCAAAAATTATATTCTTAGGGGTCGTTTGGTAGGAGGTGATAGAAGAATTAATGCAAGCATTAGCTCTATGCATTACTAATACCTTGTTTGTTATATTTTTTCAACCTGTGTATAACTAATAATTGTATTAGTTATACATCATACTTGATATTATCCTATGTATAAGTAATGCATAGAAAACCATGACATTAGTAATACCAAAGCTATTAATGCATGCACTAGTATGGTTAAAGACAAAATTATCCTTAAAGTCCCTTAAATCTTGAGAATATGGAGGGCATTTTTGTAAACAACTATTTTTCTTAAAAATTATGCAATGCATTATAATTTTAATACACCACACCAAACAGTAAGTAAGAAACAATATCTGCATAACTAATGCTTGTATTACTAATCCATATATTACTAATACACCTTATTCCGCACTATTCTTATACACCCTACCAAACGACCCCTTAGTTATTTTAAAGATGATTTGTATAATGTTTATAGTATCTTGGAAACTTTGAAAAAAATAAGGAATGCTCTTGAAAAGTAATATAAGACTGGAGAAATTTGTGGCCGCCAAATATTTGGACTTCAAAATTGTTGACACCAAGTTTGCCATGTCTCAACTTCAAAAAATGCTAGTCATCATTCATGATTTCTTTGCTAAAGGTATGACCAAAATTAATATTTTTTATTACAGATATTAATTATGTTACTAATTAATTTATTATTAAATATATGGTTATCACTGATGACGAGCGCATAACCAACGTATAAAACTGAAACTCGCTAGTCAAATATAGTATCGTCTCCACATAGATTGAATTAAATAATATTCAAATAATTTCAAATTAAATGCTATCCAAGATGATCAATACTTTTGAGTTGAAATAATTACTAACTAGGATTGACTACTCAATTTAAAGTAATTAACAATTCGATCACATAGAACTAGAGAGTTGGGCTAAACGGGTTGTTATCAATATGAGAATTAAGGGTCGGGACAGGATAGGTGCACAATAGTTATTCGGGATCTAATTTTGTTAAAATTCACTTCTAATGTTCTAATGATTCTCATGAATTCACTCGATAATTAGCTTAAACGTAAGGTCAAGATTCCTTTCTCGATTAAATCTGAACTCTACAGGGTAAACTAATATAAAGTACGGGAAGATATGCAAGAACATGTTAATGGAATAGTCTTTAACAAAACGTCTCATGAATATTCTCCTACCTTGATTTAATCAACAATTCAACAAGCTCTTTCGGTTGGGGTTGTTCAAAATCGAACCGTAACTGTTAACCGAACCGTAAAAATGACTTATTGACTTATTGGTATCAGGTTATCGGGGTAATATTTGGTGAACAGATTAAAATTTTATAATTAACGGCTTAACGGTTTGGGGGCGAATTACTCAATTTTCTTATCGGATAAACCATTAACCTGTTAAATTTTTTTTTATATTTACACTTTTACCTTTATGTTATAGATTACATAATCGACACAAAATATCTATACTTATATTACACCCATTCGGCGTGGTAAATCTAGACAAATGAAAAGGTCTTTGTAACACAAATTTTGTAAATACAACATAGTGATTAATGCGGTGGACTGTATTCCTGGTTCTACCTCAAAGTCACCTCTATTTTGTAGTCGATCATGGATCAGTTACCGATATTTAACATATTTTGGTAGGTGAAATGTCGGAGTTAAATGTTTCATTGGCACTTGGAAGCATTGATTTTAAGAAAATGAATATCCAGCTGAATTGGTTGAAATCCACTGCAGTTAAAAGTATAAAGTCGGACAAATTTTCTAGTTCTCTACTTCTTTTTAATTGTTTATTTGATTTAGCCAATAAATCGTTCGATAATCGTCCAATAATAGCTAATTCGATACCAATCTGCCTGATGTCTTATTGGATGGCTAGCGGATTACTACATTTATAAACCGATAACCGATAAGTCGAATCATTAAGCGTAGCCCGATCCGTCCGATAAGCACTTCTACTTTCGATTACTTAAAAGATTCACTGAATTAAACTAAACAAAATAATATAAAACTAATCACCAAAATATTCCTCTTTCGATTAAATAAACTGATGAATAATTCCGCAATCAATTCAAAGCTCCATAAACGTATTCAAATAATTAAACTAGGTTAATCCACAAATAACAATCAAAATACCATATCCATCAAACCCTAAGGTAAACTAATCCATAAATATGGACAAAATTCATCATAAAGAAGTTTAAAAACATAGAAATATCAAAGACAATTTGACGATACAAATTCCCATATGGCACCGATTGTTGGCAAGAGAATTGGTGAAATCTTGTGTCTTCAAGCCGTGGTAGCTCTCAAAAACTCTCCTAGGTCAAAATCTCTCTCAAAAATCGTGTTTATTGTATATTTACACCGTATAGAAATAGTCTTTGTCACACCCCTTTTCTACCCCCCAAAAGATAATGTATGTTATGTGGATTGTGGGTTAAAGATTTTTTTCAATTAAAGTGACATTTTTGAAATAGGGATTACTTTGTTATTCAGAGTCGCTACTTGGAATTGATTTTTGGTGTTCCAAGTCACCTTTTATTTGAATCCCTAGTCAAAGGAAGGTTTGACTCTTTTATTATTGGTCTGCGAAAATAAAGTCCGGATAAGGAATTCTGTTGACCGGGGAGAAGGTATAAGGCATTCCCTGAGTCCCGTGGTTCTAGCACGATCGCTTTATTGACTTAAACTTGACTTGAATATCTGAATTATTACATGTTTTAGAACCTTTTATACATTACCGCTTTTATTATTTATGAAATTTATTTGAATAAGTCGCGATGTCGCGTA